GAATTTATTTTTAAAAAAAAGCTTTGTATGCAATGTCTCAGAAGAATTTAAGTCACAACTGTAAAATAAACTGTCAAAGAAAACTATGTCATGCCTACTTTACAAGCAAAAAACTCAAGGTCAGAGATAAACAATAAATTAGCGATAAAAATAGGTAGAATTTGGTGTAGTTAGTCTGAAGAGGACGATAAGTCACACCTTTTTTTCTGTGAGTATATGAATCTGTTTATGCAGCTTATAAAGGCTTTACTATCGGATAAAGAATAATGGTTAAAGGTGCGAGTAACTGTAGCCAAAAAAATTTAACTATTCACAGTAAAGAGCAAAATGTAAGGTCTGAGATTTTAAATAACTGCTTGCGTAATGAACACGTAAAAGAGTTTAAATTAGGACTCACGCACCAGAGAAAAAATATATGTATTCTAATATGACTCTAAGAAGTGTACAAGCAATATTAATACATTAATTGACATTAGATTTCTGACTCACTAATGAGCATTAGAATTATTTTTGAATATTTATTCTCTTATTATACACACTAATTAAAGTGAGCATAGAATGACTCCTTTCCAAAGTCTCAAGTTTCTCATCAGCTAACTTACAGATTTGTCTACAATTTGAAAAAAGATTTTTAAAATTTTTTTCTTATTTTATGCCAATATAATTTTGGGTAAATTTCCTGTATAATAGCCTACAGCCTCTCTTCTGTAATTAATGTGCTCTCTTTATTAAAATCTTATGTTTGTGTAAGACAAAAAAGTAACTATTTCTTATTATGTAATGCCATAAGTAAGGCCAAAGTAGTATGCTTATTACGTACCCTGTTCCTGCAATGAATCTGCAAGTAAGTAATTAAAGAAATTTTTCCGCTTTATGGAAAAAAATACATGTACATACATCTTTTATGTCACTGATCATGTGCATAGTATACTGGAAGTTGAACAGCGCTACAGTGATGTCACAATATGCTGACATACAGAATGTATGGTCCTTGATGTATGGATTTATATATGGCTGTATGTATGTATGTATATATGTCTGCATTACTGTATGAATGCGTCTGTTAATGTATTTGCGTAAAGAGTTAATTTTTGTTTCTAGTAAGCTTATCATTTGTGAATCATACTGAAAAAATATAATTTACTTGTACTATTATTATTCACTTACACGACTACTGGTCTGAGTCTTTATGTCAGCGAAAATATCTGGTACTGTTTTATTCTCTTACTCAAAGTCAATTAATGACGAAAGCTTATAATATGGGCCATGACTATCTCTGCCAACTGTTCCTACTATATACATCGATTAGTAACCAGATTGTTAACCATCTGTTACTTTTGTAACATGAGATCTCCTTCTTTCTTACTCTAAAATCATATAGAAAGGCTCAACAAAGAGAACAATTTTATCTTTACTTAACTGATACCTGTTATCCTAATGATACAAAAAAGATACTAAAAACATCATAATAACAGAAAAACTAGGACAAAGAAGTTAACATATAACTGTTAAACTTATATATAACGATAAAGTTATGAAAACGACAAAGTTTTTCGCATCAATGAATACTTTTACTTCTCTCATAAAAAAAAACTATCAACCTTTTTTGTTTTTGTATACTTTTGTGTAGTAAAAATTTCAAGTTTAAGGCCCAGATAAAGTGTACCAGAAAGAATTTTTTATGACTTATTGGCTTAATTACTAAGACAGATATTGACCAGAAAATAAAATTAACATAGACGCAACTTTACAATAAGACATCATCAATGTGAATACAACTTGACCATGAGATAAGATAGTCAAGTTGCAACTTCACCCTTTTTATCTATGTAGGAAACTTTTTGATATTTTCTATTATTGCTGATACCACTGAAGAACCAATGTCTAGATCCATCGTGATGATTTTAGTCTTTTGACGCATGTGACGATTAACTGGATGCAAGGCGTTTTTCCATACACACTTAAATTCTATTTAAAATCATTAAATTTTTTTATATATTTACATATATTAGCTGATTGTCAATTGCCACCTTGACTAACCTTGGCTTTTAGTTTTGTATTGCTATTGGTGAATTGTTGCTTCTTTTATAATTATTTGATAATATTACTGTGATTAAGTCGTAAGACCTATTATCATATCTGATAGTTTTTCAAAATACCATTGCAAATAATGTAATACGAATTATTATTGTCACTAAGATAAGTGTCTACAATATTAGTGTGACAATTTTATAATTCATAAGTTTTATACCTACCGTATTTGATTTTGCATATTTAAACTGCCGGTTGGGACTTAGTCTCCGTAAGAATCACAGGTTAAGAGTCTGTTGGAAGAAGGTATGTAAAATAACCCACGCAAAAAACTATATTCATATATTAGATGGGCTTTACCTGTTACACTCTTCATGAGCGCATCCCCAAAATATCAGTTGTGACTCTATTATTTAAAATTCTTTATACGAGCTGTCCTTTTGAATTTTGAAAATCATTTTTACTATTTCTTTTGTGTTCTAATAAAACTAATTACGAATGATACATATTGATAACTTAACTAGAATAAGATCTAATATTTTTATATTTAAAATCACTTCATAAAACTTTATCACTCTGTTTATGCTGTATTTTTCCTCGCTTCCCCTCTACCTCCCCTTCAATAAGTACTTATTTATAGAATATTTTACCATACGAAATGTTAAAAAGTATACGTAATTTAGTACTCAAGTCATACCTCGTTTTTAGGATCTTTCAAGTCACTAGTTATAGGTCCCCCTCTGTCTTTTTTTTGCCCTTTACTCACTGTATGTCTCTAAAGTACCATAACTTGTTTAACTTGATTGAACTATTACATTTGCAAGCTCTTTCTGGTCTATGTGTACTTTATCCATATATAAAATTCTTGATTAACTGAGGACTTTCTTTACAAAAAGACAAAATTCAGAAGCAGGTATGATTAAACAGACAAACACAATCAAGCTTTAGAAACAACAATTTATTCTATTAATTTAATGTTGTGACATTTCATGTGTCGTTTTAACCCATCCGTTCTTTTAAAACTCTTTCTATATTTTAAACATATTTTTTTTTTTGGGGATCTTATAAATTAACGTATGTCTGTTTAAATGTAACAATCCTTTAGACGTTTGTTCACATTCTATACAATAAAATAATCTTTTATCACTATGTTCTTTTTTATGCCTTACTAAATTTTTCCTTTCGTCAAAACAATCCCGCAAACTTCACAAAAATACTTTAATTATCTATGTTTCAGCTTCTGAATTTCTAATTTTTCAGGTCTTTAAAATTATATGTTGCAAATTTTGCAAGGATATATATCATCATTTTTGAAAAATATATAGTCACTTATAATTAGGAGTTATAGATATTATCCACTTGATTGCTATTATTGTAACTATTTTTCTTACCAATATTCCATCTGTAAATGAGGTTTGTATAAGTTAAATTATTTTGTTTTAGGATGGTAGTAAATAATTGCAGTAACAAATTTTTACTATGATACAATATTTCTGGTTGTTTACGATTACTAATCTAGAAAACATTGAATTTTGTGAATATATTTAATTTATAACTGAATATTAGGGTGGTCATTAAAAATGAAGTTTTTCAGGCGCCCAAACAAAAACTTTCCTTTTGACGAAAAACTACGGGGAAAATTAAAAAAAATAAAATAAAAAATAAAATAAC